TTATTTTTAAAAATAAAATAAAAATAAATATATTTAATAATATTTTTTAAAAATAAATAATTAAATTTAAATACATCAAATAAAAAATTAACACCAATAAAATTGAATAATTGAATAGGGGAGTAATTATTTTCATCAGTCGTTCATATGGGAAAAGAGTAGAAATAATGGAGAGAAAGTACTAGTGACCTGTCGTTACTTAGTATGTTGTTGCTAGGAATATTCTCACGTTGTGGCGTGGGTTCAAATTGCACCCCTATTATCTCCTTCTCCCACTTGTCCATGTTGAAGAAAAATAATAATAGAAGTAGTGGAATTGCTTTAGACCCAATCGGCCAAAAAGCAAAAAGCAAAATTGTTCCCTTGGACCAACTTGTTTCCTAAATTGACGGTGGAGATTCAAATTGATTTACCTTTTGGTTTTTTTATACCACGTAGTGTCTTTTTCAAGGAGTGCGTCCCTCCTTTTTCTTTCTTTTTATCTTTTCATTTACATTTTTTCCAAGGAAAATTACTTTTCGAAAGCTTATTCGTTCTCTGAAATTATTATAATTTGGAACCTGAATTTACTCATTAATTTATTCATTTCAAGGTGAGAAAGCAAGTTCACAAATATAATAATGCACTTGTACCAAAAAAATAGGTTAAATCCCTAGTTCAGTCCCTCAACTTTCATTTTTGAACTAAATTTACCCTTAAACTTCAAAAAGTACTAAAAGAATCCTTGAACTTCAATTTTTGGGACCAATTTTGTCCTTCTGTCAGTTAAGTGTTGATGTGGCGAAATTCTCCGTTAACAAATTCAATTTCTGTTAATATTAAATATTACTTGGAAATAAAATAAGTGATGTGGCATCTTTTAATTATAAAAATATTATGACATGGCACCATGAATATAATTTAATAAACAAAAATTTCTTTCCTTTCTCTTTTTTTTTTCTCCTTCTCTTTCCTTTTCTCCTTCCCCTCCCTATTGGGTTCGAAGGAACCAGCACCAGCGCCTGGGTTCCTCGAACCTAGGCCCTAGGTTTGATGGAACCCAGGCGGGTTTGACTTAAACCCAGGCGCGGGTTCCTTCGAACCCAGCACCTGGGTTCAACCCAGCACGCCTGGGTTCCGAACCCAGGGCCTAGGTTTGAGTCGAACCCGCCTAATTTTTTTCTTTTGTTTCTTTGTTCTTCTGTTTCTTTGTTGGCTGTAGTCATACTTGGCTATCTTGATATGGGATTTAAAGTTTTGTGTGGCTTTTGCTTGCTTGAATTTCAAGATCTAGATATTGTTGGTATTGATTTAAGGGATGTTGTGTTTTTTATATTTTCCTTTACAGATCTGGTAAAAGTTTGCAGAGTAATTGATTTTTTGAATCAGATCTATTGGCCATTATTATTGTGCGAGGAACCAGATTTGGGTTCCATTAGAGAAGAGGTTTGGGGAAGAAGAAGATGGTGATTGGAGTGGTAAGGGATGACCGGAGCAATGAGGGATAATCGGTGCTGATTGAGTTGTAAGATGAAGAGACATTTGAGGATAGAGAGAGACTAGAAGGGAGAAAAAGAGGGGCTAGAAGATGAAGATGGGGTATGTAAAGAATTTTAAAATTTTTAATTAATTAATTAATTAAAATTACGTGGACAATAAAAATATAACAGTGAGTCAAATTATTTTCTACGTAATTAAAGATTTCAAAGAAGAATTGATTTCGTGGCAACTTAACGTGCCATCTAGCACTTCCGTCGACGGAAGAATGAAATTGGTTTTGAAAATTCAAGTTCAAGGATTTTTTTAGTCCTTTTTGAAGTTCGAGGGTAAATTTAGTTCAAAAATAAAAGTTGAGGGACTGAACCGGGGATTTAACCAAAAAAAGATAATATCGCACTGCATGCATACGGGGCACCACTGTCGCTGGGAGATAATTATATCAAGAAAAAAAATAGTTTTTGGATATATTAAAAATTAATTATTTAATATTCTAGAAGTACAAATTTTATATACAACTACTAATCTGCACTCCACAATGTGACGTGTGGAGAAATTTAAGTCAATTAATAATTTTTTAAAATAAAGCACTAAAAAATAGTACATAATTAAAATAAAAAACAACAGAGAAAATAAAATGAACTGCCCACTAATTGCACGAAGTACAGAATTCAAAAGAAATGATAGATAACAATAGCTAGTATATTCTTTCTTTTTTTTTTGGTACATATATTCTTTTCATTTCATAATAGTAGAAAAAGGAAAGTGAAAAGGAACAAAAGGAGAGCAGAAAAGAGAGGATGAGTAACAGGTGAAAGAAGCAATTACTTGTGTAAAACAGCAAAGGGAAAAGTTTGAAACGCAGACCCCTAAATGCCAGCTAAAGAAAAGAAGAAAGAATGGTTTAATACCTAAATTACCATTTTGCCCCTCACTACCTAATCCAAGAGGGAAGTTACAAGGCAAAAACCAACATTTAGCCCCTTACCTTAGAAAGTTGGTAGGTTATAGCCCATCACCTTATAACATGACACTTTTAATCTTTTACCTTATAAAATTTGTAGGTTTTAGCCCCTCACGTTACAAAGTTAATAGATTTTAATCTCTCACATTGTATTATGACATTTTTAGCCCCACACTTATATGAATCGAAGAAAATAGCCCTTATCTAACATCAAGTTATAACGTTTTGTTAGTTCTGTTAGTTAACTGTTAACATTTGTTAACATTCCATTATAGAAAATATGAAATTTAAATTTAATTTAATTTATTAGTTTCATTAACAAAATACTAACGAATACTAACAATCAGTTAACTAAACTAACATTCAGTTAACAGAATTAACAAAACATTATAACCTAATGTTAAGTGATATATATATTTTTTTAATTCATACAAATAAGGGGCTAAAAGTCTCATAATATAAAGTGAGGGGTTAAAATCTACCAACTTTATAAGGTAAAGGGCTAAAAGTCTCATATTATAAGGTTAAGAGTTAAAACCTATTAATTTTGTAAGGTGAGGGGCTCAAAGTTAGTTTTAACCAAGTTATAGAAGGAAACTGAAGGGTAAAAAGATGATTTTAAATAGGTTAAATGCTAAATTTGATCCCTCAACTTTAGTGAGTTGCACATTGTTGGTCCCTCAACAATTTTTTGCACTTTTTTGATCCCTCAACTTTACAAAATGCACTCCGTTAGTCCTTCTATTAATTTGGGCCGTTAACTCTGCTTATGTGACATTTTTTATATTTTTTTTGATGATGTGGAGAGCAAAATTTAAAAAAGTGATGATATGCACAAAAACTTTTGCCATGTCATGCTACCGTGGCCAAAACGCACCAAATTCATCCAAATGGGTCCCATATCACCACTAAGAATTGCTTCTTTGCCCATTAATTATTGTTTCTGTTTCTGTTCTTTCCATCGACATGTTCTTTCCATTTTCTAGATTCAAATCATTTAGACAATACTTAAAAAATATGAAGAAAAAAATCCCAAAAATCACTCACAACAACCTGCAATTTGGATAATTTCTCGATAAACAAACATATAACGAAAAATAAAAAAGTAGAGCTGGATTCGACGGAACCCAGTCTGGGTTCCATCGAACCTAGTCTGGGTTCCATCGAACCCAGCTCAGTTCA